TCGTTTTGTTGGAAATTATTTAAATTTATAGTATATAACTAAGTATTTAAAGAGGTGTATTTCAAACATAAGTGAATAACAATTAAGTAAATGATAATAATAAAACTAGAATAATAATAATAATAATAATAATAATAATATTATTAATAATATTTGTTTACTTACAATAATATTTGTTTACTAATATTAATATTATTATCATTAAAGAAAAGAGAAGTAAAAGTTATATCGAATACTTAAAGACTACCGAGGCCAAATGATGCTGTTTATCTAGTGGAAGACTTACGACATCGTAAACAATGAAAGTCGACCATTTGAAGAGAGGTATTTGTCCAAGATGCTTTTAATAGAATTTACAGTATTACTCAATTATATTTTTCCCCGTGAAATAGTAATTGTTTTTACCGTTGCTGTTCCAGTATTGTTGCTGTGGCTGTTGCGATGCCAATGATGATATTAATCTTATTTATCTCAACATTGTTAGATATATATTTTTTACACATCAATTAAAGTTTTCTTTGAAGTTTGTGGCTAGAATTGGATTTTTGTCTGTACAGATATCTGTAGCAATGCATGACTTCTTTACTTTTTTATAATAGTGCAGGATTATTTTTATTGTTTCTAATAAAACTAACATTATTATTATTATCATTATTTGTGATAATATTATTTACTGTTTTTTAACTTAAAGAAAAATATTGCATTTTGTAACGCAAGTCCTGTACTGGCATTTAACCGGCGATGGACTTGATGATATTAGCTCATTGCTTGCTTCAAGTGGAGCTTCCGAGGCAAAATTAGAGCGAGAGAAGATCGAAGCAATGCCAGATCATTATGAACTCTAGATGGACGGGGAATTATATAGGCGTTTGCACAGGATTACTGTAGAAAGGATCGATGAGCATTATTTCCTGTAGGTTATGAAAGTGTTTACGGTTAATTCCTGTTTCAATTCTTCCTTCGTGGCTGACACTGTCACATTTTTCATCAAGTGTTAATTTTCGTGATTTACACACACACACCCACACACACACACACACACACACACACACACACACACACACACACACACACACACACACACACACACACACACACACACACACACACACACACACACACACATATATATATATATATATATATATATATATATATATATATATATATTCAATTAACATTATAAATTTGGTAATTCAAATATTACGTACCAAAAGTTTGAGCTAAAGAATACAAAAATGCAATTTCTGCATGGCATATATTTTAAATTATAAAAAAATTTTGCTGTCAAAATAGCACTGCACATTATTTTTAATTAGTGCTGTATATTGTTTAAATATGACATAACGTAGGTCAACACTGTAACATCATTCGCTGTCTTGTTGACCATATAAATATTGGGGATTACTGTGACGATAACGGTAACTTCCACTAGTGAGTTACCGACACCATGGGTGATCTCCCACTGGTGAGTAAACAACACCCTTGTCACTTGGTTAACACTTGTTATGTCCCCCCTATCACCCTCTGACCCTCAAAATCAGATATTGCAAATTTCAAGAATTTGAGTTACCAGTATTTGGTTTACAATAAAATATCTGTTCAGTTTATATTGCGCTAACGCAGCATTTAACAATATAATTTAATATTATCTTTACCTACAAAAGCATTTTATGACATTTTACCGAGAAGGGACGAGTGTCAACAGAAACATTGTTTTAGCGTCTGAGTTTAGCCACCATGAAATAACAGTGGCAAGCAATATGAAACTTTTCCGAGTGGATATATTCTTTAGGGAAAAGCGGAACATTGTTTAAAGCGCCAGAATCCCGTTTTACCCACCGCGGAGAAGAGGGAAGAGGATGATGTCGCTAATTTATTTTCGTACAAATGACGATTATCTGTAAAAAAAAAGGCAGTCGTCATGTCTTTCCATCTTATGGTCGTTACGGAGAGCTCCATAAAAGTCTGGATAAGATTCACACGAAATTACTTCGTCAACTTCAATGCAATAAAAAAGATGTGGGTGTGTGTAAGATCCCTCTCAGGGGGCAGCTGGGGTGGTGGCTCACCCCTTTTCGTTAAGAGGGATGGGAAGGAAATAATAGAGGATCATGATATTCGTAGGTATTTGTTAGTGCAGCTCCTCGATTGGGAAGAATGATTACATTTAAGCAAATACATATTTAATCCAACTGAGTGAAAATCCTTCCAAATTAAACAAATGCTCGAGGTCCTTGCACGAGTTTGGTCATCATCAAACATTCCAAGAATAGGGTCAAGCCAATTTTGTACGAGCCTACGGGAAGAACATGAAGACGAGAGTAATAGGCAGGTGATGAAGGGGGAATATAGGTCGCGGTGGATTGCTAATAAGCATCGTCTTGACAGCAGAGTCGTAAGCATGGGAGCATCAACGGAGACTCTGTAGCTCACGAGATGATGGGTGGAGATAAGCGGGGAGGCTACGGATGAGAAATTGGATGATGATGATGATGATGATGATGATGGACCCGGAGCAACGGAAATATTGGTAAGGAAGGCGCTTCAGTGCACGCCCAACACAATCCTCCCCCCCCCTATTCTAACCCTTCATCTTCTTCCCTCTCCAATCCCATTCCCCTTCCTCCCCTCCCCTTTTCTCCCTTTCCCATCTCATAACCTTTCTTCCCCTCGTCTTCCCCCTCCCAGCCCTTCCTCTCCCACTCTCCCCCCACTAACCTTCCCTACCCTCCCACCCCCCAAAAAAATGCTTCTGTGGGTGCATTAAGCCCAGTACGAAATTATGGTAATGTGGTCCCGGACTACTGAGAGGGCAGGCGTGAGGCCAGACACATTCACACGTTACGCTAACGAAAATCCGATATTGTGTTCTTCTTTAACTTATAATAAAAAGAGGCGCCTGATATTACTGGGGGAATATATCGACGAATTGGAGTATTAAAAAGAAAGCTATTAGTGGGAAATCGGTGTTAAGAGCTAGTGCAATAGTGACATAATTTAAATCATCATTATTTAGAAATCGACTTTGATATGTATTATATGTGGTGTAGATTAATTTTCCTTAGCCATGAAATGGTTAATTAAATAAATAGCAATAATGAATACATAAATCCAACAATATATATATATATATATATATATATATATATATATATATATATATATATATATATATATATAAATCCAAAAAATATATATATATAATTAAACAAAATACTAACATAAGTCAAAAACATATATTTTCCTTTCCTTATAAACAAATGTTTACCAACGCCAGCCGTGTACGAGCCTGGTAATTGCAGCTGCAGTTTTAAGCATGACAGCCACTCAATCTGCCTGAGTTTTAATACCACTTAGGTAAACAGATTCCCATAATTTTGGAAAGCGTTGTTCACATAAATTGTCCACACGAAGTTTCCGCGGTAACATATACACCATACTCGGAAACATACACACATGTATGCATTCACACACACAGTGTGGTTCAGTGGTCTAAATCGTCGACTAACACTCCATGATTGCGAGTTCAATTTCAGCGAGAAGAGAGAAACATTTCCTTTCATCTGATGTTTCTATTCGCCAATCAATAATTACTAACATATTGTGGGATGTATAGCGAGGATGTGTGTGTACGTGTAATATATATATAGCAGACATGATAATTAAAAAAATTAGTCGGGAGTCTGTACATTACAAAACGAGGTGGTTGATATAACGGGAGCTAACTGCTAGATCGCGGAAGAACAAATAGGTGAATTCAAATAGGTAAGCCCACACACACACAGGTGGACACAATGTGGCATTGGTGAGCGCTGGCTTATATAAGCTAGACCAACCAATGCAGTGGCAGTCAGGGCTCCTGTGAAGTGCTCCTTGTTAGCACAATTCAGGTTCCAGTACTCAGGAGAGACGGCCTGCTGGATTCTCGATTTATTTTCCAGATTTTCAAGCCAATTTATATTCAGTTCCTGCGAGTGTTGCATGTGCTTGCCCGTATTCTGAGTGTACAAACGTGTCTGTGTGTGTGTGTGTGTTTACTCTCTGTGTCTGCAGAATTGAGCTATTAGCTCTTGGACCCCGCCTTTCTAATTAATCTATTTTCCTCTATTATTTCTACTATATATATATTTATCTCTAGCACTCGCACGCACACACACACAAACACACACACACACACACACACAAACACACACACACACACACACACACACACACACACACACACACACACACACACACACACACACACACACACACACATATTCTCAGAAAGCAGCCCGTAGCAGATGTCTATCTTCCTGTTACCTATTTACTTCTAGGTGAACAGGAGCAACAAGGTAAAAGAAACTCTGCCCGTTTGTTTCCGCCTCCGTCGGGAATCGATCCCGGGCCATTAGGATTACGACCCCCGAGCGCTGTCCACTCAGCTGCGAGGCCCCATGTGTGTGTGTGACAGTGTGTGTATTCACCTAGTTGTGCTTGCGGGGGTTGAGCTTTTGGCTCTTTGGTCCCGCCTCTCAACCGTCAATCAACTGGTGTACTGTCTCAATCAACTGTCTCAAAATTTGAGACAGACTACTAAGAGAATGTGAAGAGAATGATGCACGCATTGATCCAAGCGCTTGCTTGGCTTGTATAAGTCTCTGGCTTACATCTCTACACTATAAGCCAAATACACTCTCCCACCTCCCTAATATGTCAAGGGTATACATACCTCCCTCCCCCTCTCTCCTAAGTCACAGTCACAGGCATACATCCCCTACTTCTCCCACCATAAGTCACAGACATACACTCCCTACTCTCCCCCACCCACCCCACTATTCGACCGGCCCGACACACACCACCCTTCCAGGCCCATTCTGACCACCATAACTCCTGGAAATGTCCTGGAAGATGGTCCGCCACAATTGTGGTGCCAAAGTTAGTGTTTGGAGTTTGTGCCCGGGGCGCTCGCTCTCGTGACGGCTGTTGTTGTGACGGTTCTTGAAGTGACGGTTCTAGTTGTGATGGCTGTTGTTGTGATGTAGTTGTGGCGGCTGTTGCTGCGACAGCTGTTGCTGCGATAGCTGTTGCTGTGGCGGCTTTTGCTGCGATAGTTGTTGCTGCGATAGCTGTTGCTGTGGCAGCTGTTGCTGTGCCAGCTGTTGCTGCGACAGCTGTTGCTGCGATAGCTGTTGCTGTGGTGGCTCTTGCTGCGATCGCTGTTGCTGCGACAGCTGTTGCTGCGATAGCTGTTGCTGTGGCAGCTGTTGCTGTGGCAGCTGTTGCTGCGACAGCTGTTGCTGCGATAGCTGTTGCTGTGGTGGCTGTTGCTGCGATAGCTGTTGCTGCGATAGCTGTTGCTGCGACAGCTGTTGCTGCGATAGCTGTTGCTGTGGCAGCTGTTGCTGTGGCAGCTGTTGCTGCGACGGTTGTTTTTGTTGTTACGGCTGTGGTTGCTACGTCAATTGTTGTGATCGCAACTGTGCAATGGCTGCTATTGTAAGAGCTGCTGTTGTGAGGGCTCTTCACTATACCCGCATATTCTCCTCATAAAACTCATAAAGCATTATCTTTAATCTCTTTATCTGCCACTGATGTTTGTCTGTGTCTCTATGCATCTTGCTTTTCAAGAAATATTTCTAACACCAAGCTTTTCCTCGTGATCCACAAATCCTAAATTATTAATTTATGTTCCACTGAACAAATAAGATGGAATATTTACATTTAATTTAACTTCAATTATTACTTGTCGTTATTCGATATCCGTAAATATTCAAGAATTAATTTTTTTGGTGCTTAAAAAAAGCAAGGAAGTAAAATTCTCGCATTTTTTTGTATATTTCCTGGCCATCGTACCTTCAGCTTTGCCCATGGATTTACGAGCTTAAAACTTTAGATTATAGACTACGCCACTCTCAACCCAGATTTAAGAGGATCAAAACCCACCAAAACTTTTCCATCTCCTATTAATATGAACAGTACATAAGCGTGCATTTCTTTAAAACACGTAAATAGCGACTTGATTTGAGACTGGATTACTTATGTTCTTTAAAGTCTTTATTTTATAGCGGCTGCTGGAAGTGAGTACCAGGGAGTTATGTCAGTAAATGTGGCTAATGGTGTTGAAAAATGAGTCTCAGAGAGCTGGAGGAAACAGATCCAGGAGGCAAAGAGATGGAGGATCAGTAGACGACGAGAGAGAGAGAGAGGGGGGAAGGGGCCAAAGGGAAAGGATGTGCCCAGGAAGGGGACAAGAGAGATGGGGGGCGTCAAAGGAAAAGGAGATGGCGTGGCCGGGAAGGAAACGAGTGAGAGGGGGAAGACAATGATGATATTCGTCTATCCAGTGTGATCGCTGACCACGTCCGATTTCCATCGAGTGAGAACATCGGCGTCCATTGTTCTGTATCTGTACCTCGCTGCATGTGTACCTCCCTATTTGTGCACCTCTATGTATGTATTCCTCCCTGAATGAATACCTCTTTGCATGTGACCTTCCTACATGTATACCTCCCTACATGTATTCCTCCCTAAATGCATACTTCGATGCAGTACACACGCTACACTGCAGTGTTTCCTCTTCATTTTTCAAGTGAACGAAATTTGTGTTTAGTGATAAACTGAAGTAATGACACAAAGAAAATAATTTAAGTTAATATACACATTCATTCCTTCATGTTAACTATAAATATACAAACCCATACATCAGGATAACAATAATTATTCAGATTAACTACTTTATGTTAGCTTTAATTATCCAGATTCAATATTCTAACTATAATTAAAGACACATAATTTCATATTTCTAATTAATCAATAACAAATTTAACCTAATTTTTTTTACTGTAAATATTAGCTCAAAGAAAAATAATAAATAAACCAACAAATTCAAACAAAAATAAGTATTGCAAATTAAACAAGAGTTTAACAGATATTTTAATAACCTACTAGAAAATAAATCTAACTGGACTGTGAGGTCAAGTATCGTCCTGGGAAACTGTTGGTAGAGGTTTGCGCATGTGTGGAAAAGCACCATCAATTGGTTGTTAATCAATGGATGTGATTCGAGCACCCTCTTAGATGTTAAAGAATCCTGCCAAGTCAGCAAATGTTGAGTTGTTATATTGCTTTCAGCCGGCCTGTTCACACGGGTCTGCTTCTCCTTCTCTTGCGCCGTGTTGCAGGTGCAATCTTTCCTTGCACGATGTCTATTGAGTGTGCATTCTTCCCTTGCAGTGAATGTTGGGGCTGTATTCGCTGTCAGAGTTAGGTGTGTTTGTTTGTATTATACTCTTGCACAGTGTTTAGTGTGCACTCTCCTCTTGCACAGCTGCTAATGTGCATTCTCCGCTTTCCCAATGCCTGTTGAATGTATGCTATGTTGACACAGTGTTTGTTGAGTATGTATTCTTCTTGCACAAAGTTGTATGCACACTTCTCTGGTACAATGTCTGTGAACACTCTACATTTGCATAGTGTTTGGTGTGTGTCTTAACTCTACTCATCCATAGCATTAGCAATGTGGGCACTCTACTCATCCATAGTATTAGTAGTGTGTGCATGCCTCCTGCACAGACGTTAGGGACCGGTAACTGTTCTCTTACCTCCGGAGAAACTTAACTCACTCTAAGAAGAACAGTTATTTTACATTTTATAAGTGGTAATTATAATTAGCACTACTAATATCAGGTGTAACATTAGCAGTAGTTGTAGAAACAGGAGGTATAAATGCTATATAAATATTTTTGCAACAGCAGTAATACCTGGCTAAATGTTGTTCCATTTTTGCTAAGTATTCATGTTTTCTTTTAGTACTTCTCGCCGCGTTTTTTCATTCGACATTTCGCTTCTTGAGATGGGGAAGGTCTGCGTAGGGTGAGAGTCTTCCGGTTTTCTAAGCAGATCTCATAAACCTGACTTCATCTGCAACAACGAGAAGAGAGAGAGAGAGAGAGAGAGAGAGAGAGAGAGAGAGAGAGAGAGAGAGAGAGAGAGAGAGAGAGAGAGAGAGAGAGAGAGAGAGAGAGAGAGAGAGAGAGAGAGAGAGAGAGTGATTCCTACTCACATTCGCTTAACCTTTTAACTGGACGTTTTACCTCTTTTATTCCTACTTCTGCTTGCTATCTTCCCCTTCGTCCTCCAACATCTTTCTAATCTTCTTTTTTCTTCTTTCCTGCTTCTTCTTTTTCCTTACATCTTTCATATTATCCACCAGCTCATCTTGCCTCAACTCCGATTTCTCCAACTCTTTCTTATTATCCAAATTACTGATTCTCTCCTATCCTCATTCTCTTAATTTTTCTTGTACTATCACCTCATCATATTTCTCCTCTTCTAGAATGAGTATAAGTTTAGACAGCCTCTTCAACTCACAAGTTTTCCGTAATTTTATTTCTTGCTTCACAGAATCTTGTGAGTGCCCCATTGCTTGGGAACCACCAGGACAATTACCTCACAGCTGTCACCAGTTACAGCAGAACTTGCAGTGGATCGTGTCATTCTCTCAACACAGCCACTGCAAATGACCTTGAGACGAAGATGTTTTACCCCTCCTAAAAGATTTTAGCTTTTTACCTTGGATCTTTATATATATATATATATATATATATATATATATATATATATATATATATATATATATATATATATATATATCATAATAAACACAAAAACTCGTGGTTCAGTTATGCATAAAGGGGGTACCTGGCATTGCTTGGGTGATGGAAACCACATCTTCACTAAACACTACTTTCAGTGCTTTAACTACACTTATGTCAATATAACTTCACACGTTCCCTACCCCTACGACACCTTCCCAATTTCTCGCCACCCTCCCAATCCTTCATCGTCTTCCCTACCCTTACCACTTCCTAAGCTCTAGCCACCTTCAATATGCTTCACCAACTTCCCTACTGTTCACCACTATTCTACAATTCACCACATTCTCTATCGTTTACCAACCACTCATCGTTCTGCTGAGTGGTTACTAGACTTCTGACAAGTAATTAGATAACGCTGGAATGTCAATGAAACTAATTAATCTTGTTTGTCCTTCAGCAGAGATCGATATGAAGGGTATAGTTTGTGTACATGTAATAATGGAGGAGCTTGTCTACCAATCGTTATGATAATAAGTTCACAATTGTGTCAGAACAATTAATAATTGATTCGTGGATATTGTATTTGAATTCTTTCTAAATGTATAAGTGTATTTCTTGTTAATAGAAATTTGTTCTTTATTAGTTTATATATTTTGTTGTCGTTATTTAAAAATACATTTGGAATGAATAATACAAAGAAAACTAATAAATTTGCTTTAAACGATAAAAGGGGATTTTTATATAAATATTAACATGATATTTATCAGAATCTAAGTAAATTCCTAGATAAAAATGTCACATTTTGGGAGATTAAGCAATAAACGTTGGATATGTATAATTTCTTGTGTTAATATGACGTGCGAAAATCTCCTATATGATTTCCTCAATATCCAGACACTAAATTTAACTTAAAGCAACAAAAATGCAATACGATGAAGACTCATGCAAAAGACACCATCAGAGATAACGAGAATAAACGACTAGATCATTGAGACCCTCGTTATTTCCCAGGACGACCTTACTCACGACCTGTTACCGCATATTTTGGGGTGGAAAAAAATAAAAGGCCTCAACGATCGGCTGCAAGAAATATTTGTTCGTGAAGCCATTTCGGTGAGCGAAAATAATTGCGTTCTTTGATGTGAGTCATGTGGTTCGAGGCTTCGATCGTGGGAACACAAGGGTCAGTGAATGGGACATTGTTTACCGTGTAGGGCCTTTAACCGATGCGTGTTGATGATGTGATTGTGTTTATGAGTGCATTAAGTCTCCACAAACTCATATCAATAACACCCATTCTCTCTCCTATTTATTATGTACACTTCTTGTTACCTTGGCCTCTAGGCCAAGGTAACAAGAACTCTTACCTTTAGGGGAGCCTCGTAGCCTGGTGGATAGCGCGCAGGACTCGTGATTCTGTGGCGCGGGTTCGATTCCCGCACGAGGCAGAAACAAATGGGCAAAGTTTCTTTCACCCTGTATGCCCCTGTTACCTAGCAGTAAATAGGTACCTGGGTGTTAGTCAGCTGTCACGGGCTGCTTCCTGGGGGTGGAGGCCTGGTCGAGGACCGGGCCGCGGGGACACTAAAGCCCCGAAATCATCTCAAGATAACTCAAGATTGGCTTATTTGGCGAACAAGCCAACAATTACGTCACAGCACACAATGACATGCCCACTACTGTCACCTGAATTCTCATTACCATATCACCTGACATAACTTTGTATGCTTAGTTTATTGATCCAACACTTTACTCTTGTTTCGTTCGCCTTTTACATGACGTAATTTTTGCATGCAGCTGACCTCCCAATTTTATAAATCAGATGCTTCCTCTTGTGTTATCATTCTTCACTTGAGACTGAATCTTGTTGGTTCGTAAAATGTAAATTATAATAAGAATAATATTCTACTTATTATTTTTGTTTTTTTAGTCAACATTGAGTAAATATAGCATTCGGAGAAATCCTGTTCCAATTAAATCAAGATGCAATGGCACTAATTAGAGGGATAGAAGCCCTT